TTGTTATCCCAAACAGTTCCTGTGTTGCATCCTTTGAGACTTGATTTGCATGAGTCTCTTCGGATTTGCTTCTGTTATATAGTTTATGCCCTTTGAGATATCCATGGAGTTTGTAGCAGACCTCCATCGTGTGCCCTGGCATTCCACAATGCGAGCAATTAGGTTTGTTTGGGTTCGCTTTGAAGCATCTCTCCAGTGAGTGCCCCAGAACCTTGCAGTGGCTACAATAGTATTTCTTCGAGTTTGTAGTTTATGTGTTGCTTTGTTTTCCTCCATCTTTAGTCATCATCGCCATCATCTCCCCCTTTGGTTAGTCAACTGATATATCTCTCCTTTTTTCTTCTTGCTGAATGATGGAATATACCTCATTCAATGTGGGAAAATGCTTAATCAAGAGCACATGAGCCTTCAATCCTTTGAAGAATTCATTTAACCCCATCAGAATTTCATCACGCAATCTCGTTGTTGGTAATCAACCACGACTTTCAAGCCTCCACAAGTACAATTTGGTATTGATTCGTAGTTCAGCAGTTCATCAAAAAGTACCTTGAGTTTGGAATAGTAAATACCTACTGAGTCGCTTCCTTATATGAGGTTTATGATGTTCTGCTTTACTTCGTAAACCCTTAGTGCATTCTGCTGCGCATGCCTATGCTCAAGCTCACTCCAAAGTTCGTGTGTCATTTCTGCATAGAGAATGTTTGTCTTAATGTCTGCTGACAGTGCATTTTGCAATCAGGTGATCACTATATCGTTGCATCTGAGCCAGTATTCCATTAAGGGGTTATTGGCATCAGCTGAAGGAGGAACGCTCCCGTCGATGAATCCTAACTTTTTTTTATTCTTAACGCCCTCTTCGTGAACCTGGCCCATCCATGATAATTTGTTGTATCGAGAAGCAACAGAACAAGACCTGCTCCTAAGTTTTCGTTGGGGGCAATGTAATATGGACTGATGGGATTGGTAGGATCAAAAATGGTTTCACTCACGGCAAAGGGGTTGACATTGAGGGTTTGGTTTTGTTCTTCTTGAAACCATGTAAAGATTTGAACAAGCTTTGAGAGAAAATGAAATTTGCAGATTTTGGTGAAAAACAGAGTGTATGTCTCTGCCTTCCTTTTCTTGTATTAATAATTAAAAAATAATACAGTGTTGGTTAAAAAGAACTTT